CAATATTTTCTAAATCAAGTCCTGTCTGGACTACTTAGACTCAAACCAGACTCTGAGAAGCAGGGTCAGAGACACATTTTACGTCCAGATACCATCAGAAGGCTGTATTTTAGGACTGGCACGGAGCACAACCTGCTCCTGAAACCCTCCTGATTTACTGATGGCCTTGGGTACCATCACCAGCAGAGCAGGAGTTTGAGTACACCCAACTGCCTCACCTCCCCACACCTTTCATGCCATGGTGTGAAAATTTGCCTGAATTCCTTCATTTTCTCCCCAGAAGCTTCTCAGCTGGTAAATCACTGGTGCTTTGCCTCAGCCAAAGCATGTCCCGCTGGAGCCATCCTTTCAGACCTACCCATTTTGCTGATTTGCTTCTCCATAGCTAAGGTGTGCTTTAATTTTTATGCGCACTGCACTCAGCAAAACTGAGCAAATCAGCCCAAAGCCACCCTACCCAGGACCAGGGTGTGTCTTTTTTCCAGACATCATTTTTGCTCCCGTAACCTAGGACCCATTAATCCCTAAACGCTTGGGACGAGAAAGGCATTTTCCACGCACCTGGGTTGGTGGTGATGAGATAATGATTTACAGGGAACCTGCCAGTGCCACAAAGCATGGGCAAAACTAATTCCCTTCATTTGGCCCCGTGCGATTGCACTTGTAAGTGCTTATTGCAGTGACAGACAACGCCGGGAAAGTGTAATTTTCTGCTGCCGGGCTAAAAAAATATAGGGAAGGAGGAAGGTGAAGAGAAGGTCAGCACGGAGCTGTGCGGTGCGAGAAGATCCAAAGCCCTGATGCCTTTGCGGGCTGATCCCAGTGCCACAGTGCTGATGTCCAGTGTTTCCAGTGCATCAGTCCCCAACTGCAGGCAGGGAGAAGGAGAAAGAGTGGGAGGAGGAGAAGTATCTGGCTGGAAGTTTCCTGGGGCTCCACCTCAAGCAGCCATCAAACGGCTTTTGCAGCTGCTCGCTTCCTGCCCAGAATATTAAGAGGGGATTTGCCCACTGGAGCCTGCAAAGGGCAGGATGGAAGCACAGGTCTGTAGCTGTGCTTTTGTGATCTGTCACCAGTGTGGTGCTCTTCTCCAAAATGCATTTAGGTGGCAAAACTCAGGGAGAGTCTTGGGAAAAGGCAGCTGGGCTAACCCGAGAATCCATTCATTCCTTGAGCTGCAGGGATGCTGCTCTGTGTTGCTGCACAGCTCGTCAGCCCCAAGCACCGCTCTCCATCCTGCATGCAAGTATTCCCACATCTCCCTTTTATCCCATGAGCATCCTTCCCACCTCCCAAGTAGGCAGTTCTGCTCTCCTGCGCGGATCTGCAGGAAAGGGCATGTCGTGCAATTTGTTCGGGAAACAATAGCAATGTTTGACATGTCATAAGGATTGATGGAGCAGAAATTTACATGGGAGAATTCATTTTTAAACAGCTCCATGGAGCCCCAGTGCTTTGCTTGTAATGGTTTCGACATTCATCATCCGCTGAGCCCCACTGAATGACTCCTTAAACTGCTTGAGATTAACTCTGCTTGCAGCAGCTCTGAGGGATGAGTGGGGCACATGCTCAGAGAAATAGCTGTACATATCTATTTGGGTCTCTACCCCAGAATCATCCCCATCAATTAAAACCTGCCTAAGGGTCGAGCAGTTGGGAGTGGCACACCCTTCCCAACTCTGGACGATTTGCACTGGGATGGCAGCGGGATGAGACAGGTATTGTTGGGCTGCAACGGTGGGTCACTGCTCCTCTGCTACCTTTGTTTCCCCCCTGCCCTTACTGAGGATCCAGGAAATAAAAATTGATGGGGAACAAATTGCTTTGGCCAGGAGCTCGCTGCTTAAAAGAGTCGTAGCAGGAAAGCAATTACCTGACATCAGAAAGCTGTCAGGGCAGCAAGTGACCGGCCGTGCTTCTTGCCTCCTGGCACAGGGACAGGGACCGGCATGGCACGTCCTCCTGCCCAATTCTGAAACCACTTGCTAAAGAACAAGCAACTCTTCTTCAAAGCAATCATCAGATCCTGATTTTCCAGAGAAAAAGGGAAGAGAAACCATGCTCTGGCATATCCTGCACTGTGATGTGATTTGGGATGGGGAGGAGAGACAGATAACACACAGAGTTTCCATGAGAAGTAACCACCGGGCTGCAAAGCAGGATAAAGAGAACTGGTGGAAAACCAGCTTAATGCACAACTTCCCCAAGTGGAGACTGCTCTGGCAGCTGCTGTTTCCCCGGCCCGGTGGGAGGCAGCAATCAGGCAGCATTGCTGTGCCGCAGCCGTGATTAGGGCTGGGGGTGAGGAGAGGGAGATGCCCAGCTGCCCCAAGCAGGGCTTCAATTGACACTAACGACCCCAAAGGGCTCCAGGGGGAGAAAAATAGCCAATCAACCCCCCTGTGAACAGCAGAGCCTTCCCACCTCTCCTCCTGTCTCACTGATTGTGTTTTCTAACAGCAGCAGTGCCTCGTCGGCCAGGTTAACACTTGCCTGGGTGGCCGTCATTTAGTGTCTGGGGAGCATGGGTCGAGGTGACACCCTACAGCACCTCAGGGTGGAAACAAACCTTGGGCAAGGGGCTTAGTGCCATGTTTTGTGCCCCTGTCTCACTACAAAGTGGCACCAAGCCCAGCGCAGCACCAGGTCATGTACGACAGAGCCTGGAGCGAGTCCTCCACTAATGAAGCATATCGATTTCATATTCACTTGTTGTCCACCTAAATGGCAAGCCGCACATCTGATAGATTAAATAACTGCGCAATTGCCTGGCTGACATCTCAATCGCTTTGCTGTTAGGTCCCTAATGAATTTTACAGCCCAGCAAAATGGAAGGAATTAAGGTCAAAGTCCAACGCAAAAAATATGAATACCCATTCCTCTCTAAAATGTTCCCAGGAGCTCTCCCAGTGCCTACAGCCCCATCCCACCCAGGGCTGATGAGCACAAGGGATGGGTGGAAGTCACCCCCACACTGGATGCATGATTGCTCCAAGAGTGAAGCGAAGCCACATACAGAGGGAATTCTGCTGTTTAGCCACGGGCAGCAAGCCAAGAATACATGAACAAGAGGCAGAGGGATTGCAAGGGAGATGACCCTCAGGCAGCATGAAGTTGTCCAGGGGCCATGGGCTGAACCCCAGAACACCAGTCCAGCTTCTATTGAGCAGCTTACAGATGCTTCTCAAGCATCCCTTAGAATCATAAAACCATCGAATCATAAGCTTGGAAAAGCTTTCTCAAGTCACCCAGTCTAAACCCACCTGTCCATTGCCTACATCTCTCAGTGCCACATCTCCAAGGCTCTGGAACACTTCTATGGACATAAACACCCCCATCTCCCTGGGCAGCCTGTGCCCATGCATCACCAGGGGATGCTATTTTGCTGCTTTGACTGTCCCCATTTGGGGCTGAGCTTTGGTTTTTGCCACCTCTGCACTTTGAAGCTGTGCATTTATCCTGACAGCTCCATCAGGCCACGGCGCGGCTGCAAGAGCTGCAATAAGTGTCTCTCTCCTCAGCTGTCATGATTCCTATTCCACCCCATTTCAGTCTCACGGATTGATATTTAGATTAAAGAGATAAACACAGCCAGAGAGCACTGGTCCCTGACAGAAAGACGAGGGCTTCAGATCCGTCAATCACACTGCTACCTGGAAACCCCCTCCTCCCTGCCCTGTATTTACAGAGCCAAATCGAGGAGAATATTTGAAAGGAACAAGGAGTGTGAGCAGGTTTACAAAAAAAAAAAAAAAAAAAAAGGCAGGCAAGAAGAAGAAAAGCTGCTCATGTTTAACTTTCCAGGCAATTTGGAATTGCCTGCTTTGATTATTTAACTATTTATTGTTTGGTGCATTTGCAGCTTTCCTCTCTTCTCACAGATAAAGGATTCAATTTTCCTCCTAGCGACAGGGAAATTGGACATGATTTTGCTCTGTTTAAGCACAGCTGGAGCAGGAGAACACGGGGCTGAAGAATAACAGAATTGATTGGGATGCTAACGGGGAGGGATGGGGCTGACATTGCCTCTCTTTATCACCTAGCACCCTCACCGAAGCCATGCAAGCACTGCCCAAGCATTTCACCCTAAGCCAGCAGATCCCACCTATCACCAGGCCTGCCTCAAAGGCTTCACAGTGCAGGTGGTGCCCCAAAATGGGACCATGCTAGCCCAGCTCCAGAGCCCAGAGGATGGAAGGGGCCCAGGGCAGGCTCGCTGCTGATTGAGAAGGCGATTTGCATGTTAAATAGGTGCATACTGATGCCCAGGGTGGGAAAACCATGCTATTACTTTCGTGTTGACTGGTGTTCACAGCTGGATGGAAAGAAGGGGAGGAAAAGCAAGGTGGGATCGATTTTCCCATCCCTGATGCGAGGCCAAAGAGAGATCGAAGCGGCAGCAGCAAACTGACAGCTGGGTGGTGAAGGAGAGAAACTTTGCCAAGCAAATTAAAGGTTGCTTTAATGAGGAGAGTAATGGAAGGTTAATTAGCACATTTACTTCATTAGGCTCTTACTAACAAGGTTTCTCCTAGGGAAACATGGTGGCAAAGAGGGGCCGAGCTCTGCAGGGTGTGGGGATGCTCTGGAGGAGCTGCAGCACATCTCTGGGGCAAAGGAGCAAAGTGGGGTCTGGGGGTGGGACTGCTTCTCACATGTCCCTGGAGAACTGCTTTTCTCCATGCCATTTGAGACAAATCAGAGGCATTGCCTTGGCTAATGTTTGTTTGGGCTTTAATGATTTCGGTTATCAATGCTTTCCAGAAGGACCGTATGCTGTAGATCTGTAGGATACGAGAGGCTTAAGGAGACCTCCTGCCCCTTAACTAACTCCTGCCCCCCACAGGGTCTCTGTCACATTCCCCAGCCCTGCAGTTCCAGCAAACAGAACAGCAGTTGATCATACAGCACACGCCTGCACACTCACAGGACTGGAGGTGATGCTGAGCTCCCACTCCTCTCACTGGAGCCTTTGGGATCCCAAGGCAGACCCCATTTCCATAGCCTCTTCACCCCAAAACACTTCTAGCTGAATGCTCCACCTGGTGCCAGCCCCTCCCCATGACCCAGAAGAGCCCCACATGGGTCATCTCCAGCCCCAGTGCAGCATCAGATGGACACCCTGCCTGTCTCAGGACCACCAGCCCACTCCTTTGTATCAGGAGCCACCACCAGCTGCTGGCAGTGCTTGGTGAGGGGGGTTGTGCACCCTGGTTAGTTCAGGGTGCAGCATATGCTCTCAGTGCCTCTTGTTCCTGGAGGGCATGAAGTTATATACCGGCTGCCTGCTTGCTCAAGAAGTGTGAAATTCTCTCTCTGACCTTTTCAGTTACGTTATTAAAAGGTTTCATGGCCAGTTGTTTCAGAAAAAAAATAATATTTCAATATCTGCTGGTATCTAGGGCAGAGCTTCAAGGCAAAGAAGCTCAAGGAGCTCTCCCAGCACCCTGCCCCTACCCCTCAGGGATGTGGAGCCATTCCAGATGTTCTCCTACAAGCAAGAAGCTCCCTGCATCTGTATGATAAATGCATCTCCTGGATGGGACTGAACAGATGGACAGATGGATGGATGGGCAGGGAGAGGAGAGGATGCGGAACGGAGAATGGAGAGCGGGCCAGAGTCTTAGAGGGCGGACAGGACTGCATAACATGGGAAAAGGGCTGGGTTGTGCCCAAGGACCTGCAGGGACACAGAGCTGACCCTGTACCTGCATGTCGCGTTGTTTTACAGCTGATTTACACGTGTAGCAGGCAATGTTTCTCTGCTGTCAGCAGCATTACGAGGTGAAATGCTGCAGAGACAAATGGCCATTTGTCACTGCAAATGAAGTCTGCTTCTGCCTTTTTTTCCTCCCCTTTCTGTTTGCAGCTGTGTACCAGACCTGCACTGCGCAAAGGGGCACTTCCCAGTGCCTAACCCTGTGGGTAAACACCACACTGAGCAAGCAAAAATGGAAAGAAAAAAATGAAAGAAGGAATTTCATAGTTAGCAAACAGGCTTTCAGTGGCAGCATCCTCCCGTCCAGCATGCCTGCAGCGCATGGGACATTTTGGGAAGCCTGCAGGAAAGCCAAGCATCCTGCAGCAGGAGGGCTGTGAAAAGTTTGGGATCAGCTGGGAGGGCAAGCTGGGTTTCAGCACTAATTGCATCCATTCTGATTTATCACAGAGGATTCGACTCCGGGCGGTTCTGCGTGTGCTCTGAAATGCTGGCAGAGCTGGAAGTTGGGGAAAGAGGAGCGGCAGTAACAGCCTCATTGTTCAGTGCCTGACGGCCCAACTAGCTAAACATCTGCTTGAAATATTAATAACTGTCAGATGGGAACAGCTCGGGGGCTCTATGCAGTTTCACACCATCTGTTTGTAGAGTAAACACACTTACACACTGAGCCCTTTTGTCAGGGCTTTTCTTCTCTGGGTGGCATGCAGGAGCTGTGACTATAGAACAGCAGCAGCAATGCACCCAGTGCATCACACTGAGGATATTTCCCATTCCAGAAGAACACCAGCATCTCTATGGGTTTGATGGTTGGACTAGATGATCTTAGAATCGTAGAATCATTAAAGTTGGAAAAGAGCACTATCTCCTCCTCCACATCTCCATCTTTAACCAACACATCTCAAGCAGCTCTTCCCCTCTCTTTCCACCCTTAGCACAGCAGACCCCTATTTCCTTGCCACACACGGGATTTGCAGCAGGGATGCTTCTACTCACATGGACCTGGAGCACAGTCGTGCCCACGGTGGCATTCTCTGGAAGGCTGACATTGTAGAGGGCCTTGCTGAAGACCGGACGATTGTCGTTCTCGTTGATGAGGTTGATCTTCACACGTGCGAAGCCAACATGCTCTGGGATGCTCTCATTTGCAAAGAGCTGCATGGAGAGAACTGAACCTTAGAACTGTAGAATCACAATTCATGTTGGAAAAGTCCTCTCAGCTCACCCAGCCCAACCCCAGCCCACCCTCACGTGTCCATTGCCCACATCCTTCAGTGTGATATCTCTGCATCCCTGGAACACCCCCCCAGGTAGCCCTGTGCCAGTGCATCACTGCTGTTTCCAACCTGAACCTTCTCTGGAACAACTTGAGACCATCACCTCTCCTCTTAATTGGAGCTTCTGTGAATTCTATTCTTTTCTTTTTTAATTTTTTTCATGAAGAAAACTACTCCCTCCTCCCGACCTCAACATTCTATGCTCCATTTCCCTGCCCTTCCTGCTCCCTTACCGAGAACTCGTAGCGGGGGATGGTTTCGAAGTCAAGTGGCACAGCCACACGGACGCGGATGTCTGCCTTCCCCTGGATGGACGTGGGTGAGATGATGAAGTGGTTGGAGTTGTTGCCCACCAGGTAGACCTCAAACACACTGTTGGGGCCCTGGCAGTAGAAAGAGGATGGCTGGTTAGTTGCTTGCATAGCTCAGCACTGGCCTTAAGAATTCATTTGGGTTTTAAGATGTTTGCTGGACATGCAGCGCATGCAAATACTGCAAGTCTTCTTTTTATGTGCTTTCACAGAAGACCTCTGTGCGTGTGAATGAAACGCATTCCTGGTATAAAACTGTCCAGGGCAAAGCTAGAAGGGAAATCCCTTTTAGCCTTTTGAGACCTAGGTATCACGCTGCATCCTACTCTGGGGTGTCACAGCACAGCTGCCTTTCCCTTTGGCCCCAGATGGGACCTGTACACCCCTCTTCCATAGTCCCACTGGTAGAGCATGCCTGCAACACTGCAACACCCCTTATGGGAGCACCACCCCTTCCCACTGGTCAGCCCTACAGAGCGAGTCTAGGAGTTACTGTAGCCGAATTGCTAATTTTCCTCGAGTGACCTCCCTTCTAGCAAAAAAAAGGCAGCAATTAAATGCACGAAGGGGCACTAATAGCAAAAACTAGCTGACTGTGACCACCAAAAGCTGCTGGCACATGCAACATCCCCGCTGGCCCTTCTCCCCTCAACAGGGCAGCATTCCTCAGCACCCTGTGCAAGGTGCACTGCATCTCCTCCACGTGTCCCCTGCCTTTCTCAGGGTCCCTACGCAAAAGCACGTTCTGGTGACAGGGAGATGCAAGGGATTTTCTTGGAATCTAGCAAGGAGCAAGTTTGTTGGAGGCACGAGATAAAAGTTGAAACATCAAAAGAAATCCAAACACTTGCAGGGAGGGAGCTAGGTGGATTAATTCCAGCTGGGGAGGGAGATCAGGCTCCAGATACTGCCGTCCCTAATTACCAGCCACTCGAGTACCTCAGTCTCCCCATGTGAGCTCTGGGGAAGGGGAGAACGCCTGCCTGTTGGGAAGGCTGCTGCCAGGTCTGCTTATACATTTATTCCACTATTTACTTTTTTTGGTTTCGGCCCCCATGCTGCTTTTCTTGCTCCTGGTTCCTGGAGTCTGTGAGCCCCCTGCGGATGGCTGAAAGCAAATCTGAATATTCAAATTGTTATCAGCTGCCCAGCAGAAGGGACTGGCTCAGCCCATGCCGCCACTGGTGCCCCGCTCCAGAGATTTTTCCACACGTTTCTCAAATCCCTCACCCCCTTCCTCCCTGCCACCCAGAGAGAACAACAGGGCCAAGATGACTGCAAAGAGCAAAATAAGCACTGCTATCCCAAGCAGGCAAAGGTCCTCCAGGGCTCATGGCTACAGTGGCACAGGATGCTCAGATGTGGCATAGGATGCTCAGACACACAGCACTGATCTTCCTTTCCCCCACTTGACCTCTCTGTGGCCGTACTCAGCGCCGCACCGATGGAAATTTAACGCCAATTCAGCTAAAGACAATTGTAGCCGCTGTTGTGCATAATTATCACTTTGTTCCCCGTGTACTTGCTCCTCAGAGCGTGTAATAGTCGCATTCCTGCTGCCGTGGTGCTGGCATCAACCTGGTGTCAATACCTGGTTTTTGGGAGGCTGATCAGCCCCAAATACAGCCCTGTGCATGCATTCCCCCTCTTCTAGAATCAGGAGAATGCAGAAACACTGCCCTAGCTCAGGTGGTGTTCCCAGAACAGAAAGCTTCTGTTTCTGCAGCAGCATCACTTCAGTTTGCCTCGCAGCTACCTTCCAGGCAGGGGCAGAAAGCCGAGGAGTGCTTGATATCATTCATTCTGACAAGTTTGCAAAGAAAGAAAAACGCTAAGAGTTCAGCAGGGTGGATGAGGTGGAAAATAAGAAGGAAAAAAAACGAAATTCTTCAAATAAAATGCAATTAGTGCCTCTTTGTATGGCTTGGCTACCTTGTGCCCCAGTTCTAGCTAGGCAGGGACAAGTAATGCTTAATCTTGCCTTTGAAAATATAAAGAGGGTGTTTCTCTCCACCCACTCTGAGGCATTTCACTTGAGTGCTCTGGATAGCCTCCCTCTGCTCGCTCCTAGCACCCACTGCTCTCCCAGAACCAAAAGCTCATCCAAAGGCTTTCTAGCCACAAACATTGGGACATCACGTTCCCTGCATCTCTTAGGATGCCCAGAGCAAAACTTTCCCCACCTCACATCATCCCAATACCTTCCCATCCCCTTCCCTGCATCCATCTGCCTGTCCCAAGCAGCGTTTCCTGCCCACTGCCCAGGAGCTGCTCCATCCCCAGATTATCTCCCAAATTCCGCACACGCCTGCACAGACGGGATCAATCCGAGGCTGCCTTGCCTCCAGCTTATCTCTGCTCCAAATGATTGATTTTCCCTCTTTAAGGGTAATTTGCTGGTGAATTCCATGTATTGCAGAAACCCCTGTGAAATCTAATTCAGCCCGACTGGCAGCTGGCACTTTTGGGAGAGAATACTCAAGCGCCGTCAATTCCCCCCTACAATTCCTGGCTGTGTAGATCATATTTATAGCGTGTGTGTCTGTCATATGCATATATATGCTTGGGATGATTCATATATTGCACCTGCACACGCATGGGCACATACCGTACCCGCATGCAACTCTCTGATGCAGCTTTATGCACCAAATACCACGTATTCCCATTGCCTGGAGATAGATATATATGTATATACTAAAAAAAAATACACACACATATATATATATATATATTTCCTTTTCATGCATTTCCCATCTATCTTCCTTAATATGCTTATTTTTGGAGAATTTAAAAATTATTTTCAAATGTCAGCCCATCATACTCGTGCTCTATACGGTCTCTGCCCTTTTCTTCCTCTTCATTCAACCGTGGCAAGGAAAATCAAGTGAAAGCCATGGTAGAGGAGCTGGTTTCTCTAGTGTGCTGCTTCTCTTAATACACTTCTATGGACCTTGCAGTGATGCTGGCACTGTTGAGCCTGGTCAGATCCCTTGCACAGGTGAAGGAAGCTACAACAGGGCATGCCCTGGGCAATGCATGCTTACAGAAGCCCTGACTGCAGCTGGATAGCTTCAAAAATCCCACCCCAAGTATTCAGCTCACGTTTTCCAACAAAAAAAGGGGCAATCCAGGGTGTTAGCCTTCTGTCTCGGAACAACTTATTAATTCCTGCTGATCTATCACAACACAGGCGAGAGGAGAATCCAATGCATTCATATGAATAGACACACGTCTTCTGTAGCGTCCATTTCAACACAGGCTCAGCATAAACCCTGGGAGACTTGCACAGATTTTTATAAAGAGCTCTCCAATGGCTTTGGAAAAGGATTCAAGTGGTTTTCTCCCTGTCTGGCAGAAAGAGAAACTCAGTTGCAGAGAGGTTAATGCTTTTTTTTTGGTTCACAGAAGGCTAGCTCCAGAACCACACAAACCCTGTGCACTACTTTCTCCTGCATTCAAGTGTTTTTGATGAGCCACAAAGAATACAAGAAGCAGAAGTGGTTGGGGAAAAAAAAAAAAAAGAAAAAAGAAAAGAAAAAAAAAAAAGCCCAGCCCTCCTTCCGCTGCCCTGCTCAAGCCAATGCTGAGCCAGGCATGACCTTGAAGTAAAGAGCAACCAAGCCTGGGAGAGGGATGTCACCATCCCTATGACTTCTCCTAATTGCTCCTTCAGAAGGAAAATGTAACACAGCAGAGCAGCAAGTTCTGAGGTTACAGAAAGCAAGTAGTAGCAGTGGCTACAAAATAAGAGAAAGAAACTGCTTACTTTCAGAAAGCCTGTAATACCCCCCCAGAGAGGCAGGGATCTCTACAAGATGAGCTACCCTCCCCTCCAACACCAACCCTTAAATGAGATCTGGGAAGGGGTGGATCCTGGCTCCATTCCTTCTGGTTATTCAGCTGCACTGCATGCACCTGAGATCCCCTGGGTTGGCCCTGCCTTCCCACCAGGTGCTCAATCACTGGCTCAAGCCATGACTTAGCATTTCCACTACAGATGATCACACTGGGTTGGGCGTCACATGGTTGCATTAAGCACTCATGTCTGGATACCATAGAATCATAAGAGCTGTAGGGATCTTTAAAGCCTATCTGATCCAACTCCCCTGCAATGAACAGGGACACCTACAGCTCCGTCAGGAGGTCAGAGCTTCTTACAGTCTGACCTGGGGTGTCTGCAGGTCTCAGGCACCACCACCTCTCAGGGCAACTTGGGCCAGTGCCTCACTGCACTTATTGTAAAACACTTCTTTCTTATATCCAATCTAGATCTTGACTCTTTTAGTTTGAAACCATTCCCTCTTGTCCTGTCACAACAGATCCTTCTACAGAGTCTGTCCCCTTTTTTTTGATGCTGTCCTTCTCCATTCCTCCAGCAAGCTGGGAGCTTTCCAAGAATGGACTGGGAGGAATAGGCTTTGCCTTGGGGCACCCTATGTGCGTACACTGAGATGCTAAGCTCAGCCTCACTGCAGAAGAGCACTCCAATGCGAAGAGAAAATCAAGCACACGCTTTCAAGTACTGGCTTGCGTGCAATGTAAATACCTGCTGAAGTGCTTTGCTGAATTGGTTAATCTAACCTTTGCAAACAGCAATCATTTAAGCTGGTGTACAGTACACAAGAAGAAAGACAGACCCAAACCCCACAGTTCAAGAATGCCACGTGGCCCTGGTTACAAAACATCTTTGTGTTTAAGGGCCTGCAGCCCACACACAGCATTTTAAGGACAAGACCTGTACGACATCTCTTTACCAACCCTTTGAGACATGGTGAGCTTTCCTGCACCTCTTACCAGTGGAAATAATAGTCAGAAGCAAGCCGTGCTAACATGATGGTCTCCATGAGCGTGTGGAGTAAAAGCTCATCTGTACAAGAGATCCTCTCTCAGCAGTTTCAAAAATCTCACCAAATTCATTCAGGAAAATCACAGTAAGTCTAAGGCATGCACCAGGAGCCAAAAGAATGAAGCTATTTTTTGCTCACCCTATCAGGAATTCAAGGCTATTTTTTATTCTCCCATTTTAAAATTAGCCAGGCTGAGAGGCTGGAGTGAGTCCTCGAATGGGAGTGACTCCAGTAAAATGAGTTTTTAACAAGAAATAATGACAGATCCTTCATTCTTGTGACATAAACAGGAGCATTACAATGCCTCTCAAGCATGGATCTGCTGACATCTCTCAGAAAGCACAACAGTGGCTCTGTTCCCAAACTATACTCAGCATCTGTCATATCCATATCTTAATAATTGACATTTTCAAGAAAAAAATAACTTTTTATCTGCCTAATAGCTCCTCTGCCCCCTTTGGGCTGAGCTCAGGACTCCCAAGGGGTGACATCATGTCACGAGTGGATTGTTAACTGTGTGTCATAATCACTTTCTGTGAAAAAACAGGATTTTGTGTGGTTTACAGGGTTTGCCGAATCCCACTGGGGGCTGGAGCAGAGCATGTCCATCACTTCAACCAGCAAAGGCCACCGCTGCCTTCCAGACACAAATGCTAATTCACCGCTTCTTAGAAGATGCACGTTTCAATCAACCTACTGGGATTTCACATTTTATTTTAGGGAGTGAGGGAAGATCTAGATGCTGTATCCCTCTTTGATACCACTCAATTCACCTGAAGTGCCAGGACAAGTCCTATTGGGACTCTGAGGTCCCCAGGAGCCCAACAGAAATTCTGTTTTCCTAAAAAGGGCTGGCAAAAGGAAGCCTTGCAATGCCTCAGGGGAGCCCTCAGTAGCAGGCAAGGATCAGCATCCTGCACAATCCTATTTTCTGGCTCTCAGTGGCCTCAATGCATTAAAGCAGACTCCACGTCTGTGCTCCAGGGAGTGAGCTGCAATAAGAGCTGCAAAAAACAGGTACCAGGGTACAACCATGTACCTCATCACTGACCTTCATCCTTCCCTGCATCCCCCCCAAACAACCCAGATACTGCTTTACCAAGAATGCTATGAATCACCATCACCCATGTGTGGCAGGAGCTGGCTCACCTCATCCTTGTCCTGCACCTGGATGAAGAGGGGCAGTGCGAAGCCCACCTGGGCCAGCTCAGGGATGGCCACGCTGTACTCGGAGCTGTTGAACTCGGGCGCGTTGTCATTGACGTCAATGACCAGGATATTGAAGGTGGTGGTGACGGTGGCATTGGAGGGTGTGCGGTCATCATTTAGCTCGGTGCCCTGTGAGAGGAGACAACAGTGGGGCAGCCCATCTCCTTTCTCAGGTGACAAGTGGTAGGACACAGGAAACAGCCTCGAGTTGTGCCAGGGGAGGTTTAGATTGGATTCGGAGGAATTTCTTCACGGAGAGGGTGGGCAGGCTTTGGGACGGGAAGCTTGGGATGGTGGTGGAGTCCCCATCTTTGGAGGTATTTAAGGGACATGTGGACATGACACTAAGAGACACGGGTTAGTGATGGGACTTGGTAGGTGAAGCTGATGGTTGGACTTTGTGATCTCAAGGTTTTCCAGCGTAAATCATTCTACAATCCTATCTGTGCTTTCCAAAGAATAAATGGTTTGTAAAGGGCAGAAGTAGCCACTGGGCAGAGACCACAGTGAAAAACAAAGTAAATGGCTGTTCCTGAGACACGCAGTGGAAGGAAGAACTCTTCCTCACCCTTCATCTTGTCTGTGCTGCAGAACCTGACCGAAGTTTCGGAAGGTGTACATACCCTGATAAGTCTCCCAGGTTTTTTCTCCCTCTGCTTTGCCAACAAAGCAGACTTTTAGAAATGTTTGGGTTGGAAAGGACCTGAAATGCCATCCATTTCCAACCTCCTGCCATGGGCAGTGACACCTCCTGCCAGCTCAGGCTGCCCAGATAGCCACACCCAACCTGGCCTTGGGCATTTCCAGGGATGGGGCATCCACAACTTCTCTGGGCAGCCTGATCCACTTGGTCCTGCCTGAGCACCTTCCCATGCAGCTGACATGAACACACACAGATGCTGACCCAGCTCTTCTGCCACCTCTGCTTCAGATACAGTCCTTGCAGACCTACTCCCTTCCCGTAGTCCTCAAACTAAGGGAAGAGGCAATGGGAGACACAGCACTCTTGTTTCCTCCTCTGCCTTCTCCTGAGGTGCAAGCTAACCACAGAAGTACTGCTGAAGACACAGGAAACTAGGGCAACTTGGGAAAGCAAGATTAAGACCTTAAAATAGCTTTGGCAACATCTAAACACAGAGCTAGGTCATAACTCTGTATCGCACCTCTGTCTCAAGAATGACTTTAATTTTGCTTTCCCCAAAGGAAAGAGCACAGATTTTATTGCAGAGCTTGCAAACTGCCTTTCCCAGCAGTCCCTCCTCTTATTCCCTCTCTTTGCTATTCACTGCTTTTGCACTCCCAGCAGAATGGGCTGATCTCAGCCAGGAGCACCCAGCTGGGAGTGGGAGAGGCAGGGACATCACAGGGCCAGCCTGGTAGCAATCGGAGGACGATGGGAAGTTTGTGGGGAGGAGAAACGAGGTCCAACAGCGCAATATCACATGGCTGGAAGCCTGGCATCATACAGTCAGGAAAGTGAGCAAGCTTTCATGTTCGCAGACCTTTCTGAGACTAAACTAACATTTCTGTCCCTATTAAATACAGACAACACATGTATAAATTTTTCCCCCTTCTCTCAATTTCTACTGAGTTTAAACTATAAATCTCCAAACCAAGAGATACTAGAGATTGGTGCAGTTCTCTCCCTCATGCAGAAAGCCTCATGGTGTGACCTGCATCTGAGATTGGGAGGAGGAATTTCTTGTTTGCCCCTAGCTGTGCCCACTGCACTTTCTGAAGCAAGCAGGCTGCTGCCCTCTCAATCAATGACCCTTCCTGCTATGCTGATTTTTCCCCAGCCCGGCCCAGCAGAATCTATACTCTTAAATGTGTTTCCAACCAGCTGCCCTGCTTGGTATTGATTTTAATTAAAGGGCTGTGAGCAATGCTGAGGGCCTTGCTCAGGTGGGGCTGCAAGCCATGCTCCAGTGCGTTTTCTTGACGAGGCAACTTCTGGCATCGCTCCTTTGGCTGATAGAACAGCAGGATGATCTAGCTGGAGGCCAGGCAAAGCACGAAAAATGGCTCCATGGAGGCAGGCACGTTTCAGACCATCCTGCAGGGGCTGTACCAAATCTCTTTGGCCAGTGACTGATGGCTCACAGCTGTGGATGCCCCCAGAAGCCCCAATGGCAGGATTTGTACCTCCATCTGGGTGCTCTCCCATTCTGCTCCGTAGGGGTTTCCAGCACCTCACCTTCACCGTCAGGATGAACCCAGAGCTGTAGAAGGGATTCTCTCGGTCCAGTGGCCCATTCAGGGTCAGTGCTCCACTGATGTAGTCCAGAGCAAAGATGCTGTTGGTGTTGCCTGGTAAAACCAAGAGGCAGTGTAAGCACAGGGAGGACATGAGATTCTTTCCTGCTGGCGTCTGCATGATTGAACACAGTGCTTGGGCTCTGTGCAGTGCCTCAGTGTGCTTTAAATAGTTGTAAGTGGCCTCCTCCACAAACCTGCCCAGCTGGGAATGGTGCTTTCCTTGTAGGTGGACATCTCTAGTGCCTGGAAGAGTGCTGGAGTACACTCTACAGGCTCTAGACCTGTATTTATGCCCCTGCATCTACTGTTAGCAGATGTGATGCCCTCAGACAGCTGCCACATTCTCTCCTATCTAAGCCAAATTTGGCCTCTGCACTTCTCCTTGCACTCACACCAGGTGCCTCCAGCGAGCAGCCTATTTGGCTCCTCCCCTGGAAACAGACACCAAGGGAGCACTGAGGTGACACTTGAGTCTCTCGGCCAGCAGATGCTGTAAGGATGAATTTCCTGCACTGGGGATACCCCTGTGACAGTCACAGGTTCTCTCTCTGCCCCCCAAACAAAAGCAAGCAGTTGGTGCTTGGAGCTCAGGATACCCGATGCTGGCCCACCACAATACCGTGGTGGTTGCTAAATTAGTGATGAGCATGGAGATTACATGCTGGCACGCAGGCACCAGCACTGCTGCTCTCCACTCTCCTTCCCGGGCTGCCTCCTGAGAGCTGTAACAACTTTCTCCCCCATTTCTGCCCTTGACGCTCTTTTCCCTCCATCTGAAGTGGCCTACTGAGTGCCATCCAGCTTAATGAACCCATGCATGGCTTCTTACAGTACCAGCAGCAGCTCAGAGGGGTATAGAATCACAGATTCTTTAAGGTTGGACAAGCCCTCTCAGATCACCTAGTCCAGCCATTCAGCCTATCCCTACCACTAAACCCTGTTGTTCCCGCTGCCTGTCTTGAAGGATGCTCCACAACATGCACCAAGTTGCCCTGCTAAGAATTTAAATACTCCCTGATGCCATGTGGCTGTGGTAGGTCTTATGTATCAGGGTGATCTTGATAGGCACCCCCTGATATAGACTGTAATAAAAATATGGTATCCACAGGCACTTTTGACAGCTAGAGGAATAAAGGAGTGATCTGACATTCTCCCAGGCTGCATATCAGAAATTCTGCTTTGGCTCAACTTCCCAACCACTGCTCACGGAGAAGATACACATCTGCTGCCCTCCAGGGTTTCCTTCTGTCTTCTCACAGAGAATTGCTGCCTTTGCAAAGGAGCCGGGGAAGGGAGCGAGGTGGCCCCATCCCCGTTCCTCTGCGGACATCCGAAATTTTGCTAGCAGTGCCTCTCTAAGCAGCCATTCGTTCCGCTTCCAGCCACGAGCCCTGCCAAAGAGCTCGTGCTGCCGAACAATGCGCCATCCCCAGAGGCATTTGCAAAAATCTCTAATCATCTTCACATTTCCTCCCTTTTCTCACAGCAATGAGAGAAAGAAAGATAAAAATAGCCAATTTTGCCTTTCACTCCCCCCTGCCTTTCTCCTCAGCCCTCTATGGATAATTTCTCCCTGTTCCAGCTCCCCTCCCTTTCTCCATCAGCTTTCACCCATTTGCCCACCATACTGCTGCATGCCACAAGCCCCAGCATACCTGTGGTGGCCATGGGGACAGTAAGCCAGCAGAGCCTGTCCTACGTGGTGGTGACCTGATGCTATGGCTAATGCCCTGCTGCTTTTGTATCAATGTTGAGACACGAGACGGAGGGCATAGAGGGGAGGGTGAATCTTTGCAGGGCTTTTCAGCTGAGCCCAGACCCTGGATAATCCTGTTTCTCAGATGACACGGATGGCACAGACTTTCCTGTCCCCACCATGAGATCTGCACACTTGTTTAATGACATGGGCAGAGACAATTGTGGCTGCCTTAGCACTGAAGAAAAGTGACCCGCTGAGCAATGCTCCTACTAACTGTCTTCCTCTATGGCTCCACCCCGAGCCCATGCTCAGAGTGGCTCTTCAGCACCAGTGATTCCGTGTGTGGCTCAGGAGCTGTGGGAGGGATGGGGACAGGGTGGATGGCTAGAGCACAGAGCAAGGGGAAAAGCAAAGCACCTGATGCTTGAAAATATCCCAAAAGACAAAGTAAAGGAAAAAACAACAATAAAAAGGAATATGCTTTGGGACAGAAATATAAATGTTGTTTAAGAGATATCAACCAGCACTGGAAATGTTGGTGTGGGTACAGAGGCAGGAGAAGCTCCTGTATCCCACGTGGCCAGGAAGGCAAGGAGCAGCTGGTGCAGGGTTAGGAGCAAAGAGATGGATGGCAGCAGCCCACCCCCAGTGCTCTTCCAGGCTCATTGAGGAGCGGACAGTGGCCCAGGCATCACCGCGAAGAAACACTGCTACAACGAGGGGTTTTATAGATGAGGGCCGTAATGTTTAATTGCCCTCAGCCAACTCTCTCTGTTTAAAAAGGCCATTAGAAATGGTGGCACGAGTCCAGGATTGAGGAGGAAAAAAAAAAAAAGGGAAGAAAAGAAGATATTGGCATCTCCTCCTTCCTCCCTGTCCCTTTGGCCTTTGAGCATCGCTCACACCCACAGGAGGGATGCAGCCATGCTGCCAACCTGGCCATGTGCGTCGACTCATGCCAGAGAGCATCCTGCTCGCAGCCAATGACTTTCACAAGCTGCAAAAGGGGAACCCATCTTACACATCACGCCCGGTAATTTATTAGTCCAAATGTGCTCTGTCAGGGATCCTCAGCGCTGAAATAGATGCTGTTGGATGTGGTTCACAGAGTCAGCAACAGACACAGTTATCATCGTCTGAAGAGTCCATCAGCTGCCGCGACCACTCTTCACCTTAAGGTTTTGTCCCATGAGATAGGCAGGAGAGCACGACAAAGCCAGTGTCTTACCCCAGACTTGTCATTTATAAGATACTTAAGCTTGGATCACCACAACCAATGCTCTAAAGGAAAAAGAAAAGGAAGGAAGGACATTCCCATCCCTTTCTGACCTCTATATCTGCCTGGGCCCACCCTGCATTCATTGCGCACTGAGCACAAGGCAGTGCTTGTAAATGTTGGTTCTGCTCAGTCCTGCACCTTCTTAGCAGCTATTGGTCTGGATTTCCAAGTCCGCTAAAGGCAGCAAGCAGTCACACAAGGAGAACACGAAACAGCACAGTGATGTGTCCAGGACAACTCAACCAGATTTTAAACTAAAACCCGCACCTTTGGGATCAACACCTTCCAGAAAACCTCTCATCCTACAGAACATCTCAGAACATCTTATTATCTCTAGCCCTGACGTGAAGAGAAAGAGCACAGGTTCATCTAGTGGTTACCAGCGCTTCAAAGATATATTAAATCACAGGCAGGTAAAAAGAAGATCCCTGCAATCAAACACAGACCGTGTTTTATATTTACATATAAGTGGGAGTGTTTCAATTTCCAAATATCCATCATCCCCTCTGCACCTCAGTTATCCTTGGGTTGCGACAGAGCCAAAGCACAACACTAACTCAAGGAAACCCAAGGGTACGACTGCAGCCACCACAGCTTCTCTGAGCACTGTCAGGGTGGGAAAACAGCCGGTGATAAATAGCTTGGCGTCAGGTACTTTCCCACCCATCAGCATGCCCTCCTCCAGAGGTGCTCTGTGGTGATGGCTGCCTTTAAATCATGCTGCAAGGCCCTCCCAGCAGCTGTGATTTATGGGGACATCAACACCCCAGCAGTTCACCCAGCAATCCTGATGTGGGAAAAAGCCAGCACAGCCAAGCGTTGGGAATGTTAAAATCAGCAGGTTATATTTCCAAGGATTCTCCCTGCTTCCTGGTTTAAGGGAAATGGTTTACTTTGCCTTGTCTTTCTTTATTAATCGAGGTCAAAAGTAGGAGGGGTGGGACTTGACCTCCATTTGGAGCTTTGTTATGCCTTTGTGAAGGGAGGCATGTGGACAAGCCAGGTCTGTGTGAAACAAATCCTTAGCCCACGCTAATTTGGTAAAAAGATTCTTATTCCTTAGCAGCAAGAAGAGAAGAAAGCCAGAGAATGGCTATCTTCAGACATGCCTCCCTCTTGCTTTTGTAACTCACACTTCTGTTACATCGAGCAAATAATGACTTTTAATTCCTGCTTCCCTCGGGATGCTCCAGCTTTAGGATGCAAGCACTTCATTAGCAATGGAACCAGCCTCCTTAAAGAGTCAATTCCGGAAAAATGATGCTTCTGGGGAGCCCTGGGAACAGCTTCTCAGAACTCCCCTTCTCTCCTGCGGGGCTTCCTAAGTCCCACTAACGAGGTGTGGATTGCCCTCATGCCCATCCATTGCAACACCAGAAATCTGACATCACTGGCAGACACTGCTCTTCCCTTGGCTTTAACCACTATGGTGATGCCCATTAGTGGCACAGCCCATTTAATATGTGATAAAAATCCTGCTCCTAGGAGAGCTCTGTCGCTCTCCCATCACCTGTTGGTGTCACCAGGAAATCAATCTGCCTCCCAGTCATGAGCTTCCCACAATGAACAGCCTTATCTGGAGCAGGTCATGGCACACAAGTCACCTGCTCACCTGGGACATGAAAGATGATGAGGCAGAGTCCCCAGCACAGAAGCTATCTCCATAAATCTGCCAAAAAGGAGCTGTGGATTACTGCCCGGGATTAATTCTCTGTCCTTCAAAAGGAGACCTGACCTCAGAGGCTGAGCATCATCAACCCACAGGCGAAATGGCTCGCTGAGGCACCCCCGCGGATCACTACCCAGACCAGTTCTCCTATCTGATCTTAGGTTAACAGCCTTGTAAGGCAGTGGCACACAGATTTTCAGTCTTGTTTTATGTGGTTATGGTTAATCTTCTAGTTTTATTGTTGTGCTGTCACAGGAGGACCTTGTGCCTGGAGATGGCTGCGTAAATAAGGGCTCCCACACTATATCCCAAGCATGGCTGTGGCTGAGCAGGACAGCAGCAATTCCAAATTAATACCCATGACCCATCTCCGAAGCAAGCCAATACCTTCCACACCCATTCTGAAGGGTCGGTGGTTGCTTTGTAACTCTCTTTCTACTGTATATTCAAAGGAGATGCCAATATCGGGTTGTGTGAAAGCCCTGTGCCCTCAGGCTTGGCACCTTGTGCCACTGTCATGTGGGAGCATTGTCACTTCCCCCCATCGCAGCCCTCTCTAATTGCAGCCTCCATTGCCCATTTTCACTTTTGCTTACAGTTGGTTTCTAATTTAATTTGCGTCCTGCTTCCCATATGTTAGACTGCTATGTTTTTTGCAAAATTGCCATAAAAATCTACCAGCTCAGGCACAAAATCTGCTCACTGACCTTTACCATCATGATTGAGGATAATGATAAATTAATTAGGCTTTACAGGCAGGCCAAAAAAACCATGTGCCTGGGGTGAGCGGGATTTTGGAGGTGCGCTAGCAGTCCACTCCCACTGCTGGACCAGCATAGCATTGTCTTTCTTGAGCAAGATGGGCAAATGGTAGAGATTTTAAGAGAACATCTTAAATAGGGGTGAGATGGCACTCATGGCCTTACTGACTTTAGAAAAATCAGATTTGGTTTGTGACCAAGAGGCAGGGTGAGGGGGGAGTGATGCTGGCAATGATGGGAGATATCTCCCAACTAGTTCGTGCTGTCAGCTTGGGGAAAGCAAAATAAATAAATTCAAAGCAGCCTGAGCATCGCTGGCTTTGATGTGTTCTGCACGATATTCTGATAGGGAGCGGCTCCCCGCTGGGCGGCACTGAGGCAGGATTAAGCTGCTAGTGTGTATGAAAAGATGGGGGCTGGCTCTGGGTACTGCTGTCTGTCTGTCTGTCTCCCACTCCCAGCAAAGTAGCAATGGGGCTATTCCATGGGAAAGCCAAAGAGGAGCATAAACATAAATATTTCCCCAGTGGGAAAGGGCCTGGATAAGCTAAAAAAAAAAAAAAAAAGAGGACCCCGCTGCTCTCTGCTCAGATTGATTCACGTGATCTGAGGGAATCGCTCCTTCAATTTGTGCTGGGGTGTATTAGAATAAATTGTAGAGGGAATTAGAGGAATAAATAATCCTTGCTTCTTCAAAGGCAGGCAGATCTGGGCACTTGTAGCTGGGATCAGTGGACTTGAAAGCCAAGGTGAGATCACCTTGAACCTGGGTTCGACTAAGGGAGCATGTGAAGCAGCCCAGCTTTATGGGAGTGAAACAGGAAACTATTTCTATACACAGAGCTGCCAACCAGCCCCACTGCATGTGAGCAATCCCTCCAAATCAATGCCCACACACACTGGGGAGAACTTCTGGGCTTCAGAGCAGCCCTTGTGAGGTGTCCAACTTGTGTTCTGCTCCTGAGAACAACCAGGCCCACCCCAAAAGGCACCCCTCTCCTAATCCCAGCCATGACTTACCTGAGACGATGGTGTAGCCAATGCCACGGGGCCGGCCCTTGTCCTGGTCGATGGCCGTTATCATCCGCACTGTGGTACCCTGCAGGAAACAGAAACAATGTTAGGGCAGCAAAGCTCTGCTCACCCACCCTTGGAAAGGACCAGCAGGACTGAGCCTAAGGGAGCTGCAAAGATTTTAACCTTTGATGGAGGAGGTTGGATGGGCACTGGCAACAGAGAGTTGCCCACAGATTCCTGCAAGTCCACCAGCCTGCTTCTTAGCCCAGCAGCAAAATCCTTGAGGCCAAGAGCCCCCAAATCTGACCCACAAACCTTGTTTAGCTCCTGAAATAAAACTATCAAGCACTCTGTCAGCTCCAGAAGCTGTGTTTCCCCTGCCGCACTGCAGCGAGCCCATGTGAATACAAACACGGCCACATGCACATAATTAATGTAGTGTGAAAAAATTTACAACTCAGCTGTTCTTGTTTTCATTGGTTTATTAAACAGTGGAAAGAGAATTTTTTTTTTTTTTTTTTTTGCCCTCAAAGAAAATGTCAACAGAGACGTTTGCATATCTAACAAGGGAGCACAGCAGCAGGCAGCAGTGTTTCCCCACCATCCATCAGCTGAAGGCCACCATAGCAGTGTAGGGACCTGTTGTGTCCTCAGCTCTCAGCATCAGGCAGATCTGCCCCTCGAAACCTCTGAGGGCATTTCAATAGACTGCTTAAGTACATCCCTGCTGTTAACCCTGAACACGAGCTGTAAATCCCAGGGCACTGGCTTGTGAGCAGCACTCGGCTGGCAAACCTCAGCAGCTGCTGGAGAGCCTCTAAATCATGGACAGTAATTGTCCTTCCCAAAGGAGCCTGAGGAAAGGGGGAAGCAAACCAGTGGGAAACAGAGCAAGGGATGTGGAATGGAGGGCAAGGCCATGTGGAGAAGAGGGGCAGAAAAAAAGGCAGAAGGAGGCAGGGCTCCAGCAATGGCTAAGCATTAGTGAAGACCCAAAAGCCCCTCCTCTGGATGAGGTGTGCTTCACCAGTGACTGAGGAAAACGTGCCAGAGTGGATCTGAGGTCCTTTTTGCTCCTAGATGACATCTTTTGGGACAAAGGCAGGGACCTGATTGACTCTGGCGTCTGTTCACAGTCCAGCTGGCTTCTGTCTTTCCTGCCAACTCCTTCACAAGGGCTTCCAGCCGGCAGATCCCAGCTCCCAGGAACACAAGGATGATCCCTGAGCATTCACACCATGTTTAGGGTCAGTCTGGACCTTCTGTAGAAGAGAATGGAGCAGTGCCACAGGGCAGGTGGAATGGCTGTTCATCTAGCTGGTGGTGGTGATTTGTTTTAAGGTGAACAGTAACAATGCGGCCTTGGAGCCTGATCACTCAGCATGGTCATTGGGAAAGGGTATTCTGGTTCAGTAAGAGATTAAATGAGATGTGGAGAAGAGAAGATGCAAAATTTGACCCTACACGTCTCTTAGAAGCCACAACAGTCAGGAAGTGTCTTGCTCACCAAACACACAAAATGGAGCTAAACCCTCAGTCAATGCCATCACGTAATGGTAAAGATTGACTTCCCACCAACAAACAAGACATCCAGCAAGGCTTCCACAGAAATCCCAGGATACTCTCCAGGGCCGGGAGCTCTGCCCAGGGCTTGCCCCAGCAATCCATGGCATGAACCTCTGGCTCTTGGAGTCTCCCAAATATTTCTGGAACTTCTTAAAGCAAGTGGTGGGTATAAATTGGAACACTGGAGCAGAATAACTCTCTCCCTCTAGGGAAGGAGGCAGAAGATTTAGAAAAGTAATAACCTGGAAGAGACTACACTTGAAAAAAGGTAAAGAAAATAAAGAATGGCACATTATCCAAACAAAGTTTGAGAGTTTTTTGAAGAGGGGTAGGGGTAAATCAATCCTTTTTTAATAAAACCCTGAGCTTTTAATAAAGTGTTCACACTGATGGGCTGGAAATATTGTAAGAAAGAATTAACTCGGAGCTATTGAGACTCTAGGGCAAAAATAGCACTGATTCCATGTTATTTCTTTAACCCAAGGAGTTTTTGGAGAGGAGGGGGTGGTGCTGAAGAATTAAAACTGTTTTAATGATATTTTACATGGATACATACCATGCTGTGCTGATCAGCAAGGGAACACACTTGCTGATCTCTAGACTAAGCACCAGTGGTCTTGCCCTTCCCCTGCCTTTGCAAAGCTCCATGTGGGAGTAAATTTTCAGGGGCATCAGCTCATCTCTTAGAGAGTGGATTCCTCCTCTTTCACCCCAAAGTGAAGCTGCAAGGGTGCCTGGGCCAGGTATCAGCCGATGTCCAAGAGCAGCTCTCACTTCAGCATCTCTTCTCCAGCCTGTACTAACTTCTCTAGAGCATCAGCAATGCTATCCAGCTTATGCAGATGGTGCGATGATGGATGCATTAAAAGAACCCAAGGATGAAAAACCAGCCTTGAGTGCTCTGGGAGAGACACCTTAGGCAGTTCAGGATGATAACCAGTTGCACAGAAGGAAGCACAACACCTCCAGAGATGGCAAATCTTCTCCTTGGTGCATCCTCTTTCTTGGCCCTGAAAGACATTTTCCTTCCTTCTCATACCTGAAGAAGTATGAACCCTGAGTGCTTCCAGTTATGCCACCAGATCCCAGTCTGGCAAAGAAATTGCAGCACTCCTCTCCCCTTTCCTCCTTTTCTTCTTCCTCTGTTGCAGCATTAGGAACTTGAAAGGCAAAGCACAGCACCAGGAGGAGCTGGTGGAGGGGGGAGCACCTCGGAAAGCTGCCACGGCAGATTTGGAGGCAAAAATCCTATTTCTCACTTCTTAATTCCAGTCAATTCCAGTCAAAGGGTTGATAGAGATCTGTTTGCAGTAATTTGCTGCAGTTTATCCACTCTTTTCACCTTCTATCGGCTCTTCACTGACGGGCTGGCTGACATGCTGTTGCTCGAGTGAGGAAATTAAAATTTGATGCAATAATCCCAAATAAGAAGGATTTTATTAGGTAATGTATACACTTTAGATTAGGTATTCTCACCCGATACATTGATAGAGGAGCACAGACATGCTGTGCACTGCAGATAAAAAGGGAGCAAGGGAGAGGGTGTGGAAAGAAGCCTCTTCCGTCCCCAGATCTGGGGCTGGAAGACGTCCTCAGTGTGGCAAACGTCCCCACAAATGCACTACAGCTTTACAAAAGCACTATGGCTGTCAGCTTAAATCAGCTGCATGGCAGCCCATTCTGGGGCAGAAGCTGGCTGAGCCCAGTTGCCTCACCCAAATCTGCTGTTATCCTTTCCAAAATGGAGCCATTTGGCATACACTCCCTCATGTGATAAGGTGAGATGATGAGGAGGGCTGCCGTGGAGAAACTTGTCACCAGAAAATCCAAATGGAAACCCCAAGCAGACTATGTGCTTGTTTCAAATGCTGAGATGTCTCCTATGAAGGATGGGTCTTTGGTCCTGGTCTGGACCCTTCAAAGCAGTGGCCACACTCAGCAATGGGCCTCAATTCTGACTTCCCTCACCCCCAAGCAGTGGTGGAGAAAGTGATGGGAGAAGGTCAGCCAGCACAAGCTGTATTCATCACACTGTCCCTTTGGGAACCAAGGCTGTGAGATGGACCCAAACGCTGCTTTTGTTCCTTGCTTTTCTCAATGATGATGCTTTTAGAAATGCTATATATGGCCAAGAGAAATTGGGTGGGCTAGTAAAGCTTCATTCATTTCCCATTTTGGATTGCGCAAAGAGTATTTGCTGCTTTGCCCACCATAAATATTGTACACCCCGGGAATAACTCTGGTGTACGTTTGTTTAAATGGATTGTTTAGCTCCAGCTCAGCAAATGCCATTAAATTGAGTGAGATCTCCTTTCCTGAACACCAGGTCATTCCATGAAGGCGATGCAGTCCATACTTTTTGATACTCACAGCACTTCCATTTCTATAATTTCATCTAAGGCTATGTCATCTCCCAGCAGTTAAGAGTGATCTAAGCAGTGTTTTCTTTTCCCCGTGGCTCATGTTGACCACAAACAGAAATACCAAACAGCACTGAACCTCATGAAGGTAATTCATAAAGCCATTTTTTGGCCATCTTTGGGTTGGCAGATGGGTAATGTGCTGTCTGATGGTGAGATTTTTGACAGTAAGACTCAGCCCTATTGATCCAGCACTCTCAGAGCAGTCAGAGCTAGAGTTTTGCTCCAAAGTGCATAAAAAGGCAGAAATTTAAGTGAGATGGAGTCCACCCTGCCACTAAATGAAATGAGCCATCAGGTGTTTCAGATCCAGCACAACAGATCCCATGTGGGATGGATGTGTGGTTATGGAAGCCTAATGCTGTCTCATTCTAGGACAGAAGGTTTCACCATCCACATACAAAAAAATATATGCCTTCTTGGTGAAGATATGGGATGTGGGAAGGTGGGTGTTGCTGACTAGGGCTGATGTTTTGGTTGACAGGAGTAGAAGTTGCCCAGCACGCTCCCCATAGGAGAAAGGCACTGCTGCACTTCGAGATGGAGAGATGTTTCCACAACCAGTGAGTTTGCTGACAAACTGAATTTCAGAAGAACTGAAATGATTGGATCAATTTGGTAAAACCTGGGGGAAAAGACTCAAAGTGCTGAAATGGCTGATCTTTCTGGCATTTTCAAAACTGCTTCGTTTCAGGAACATTTCCATTTTTCTTCAAGTTTTCTATTAGAAATGGCATGTGTGGATGCCAGGGGGAAAGGAGGTGAGTGTGTGCTAAGAACAACATAAAACCTTCTTAACATTTAAGAAAAAAACATTCAAGAAAATGTTTTACTTTGGTTTCATGCTTCCTAAAACCTCAAAATTTTGCCCTTATTGAGATGCCATTTGGACATTTTTTTGTGACTTGTTTCCCTAACAACATTAACCAGTGATGGAAGGACAGACCGACACTCCTGCAAAAGGGAGGTTTTCTTCCAGCAGTTTAGGGATACCTTGTGCTTTCCATCCTACACCCTGTCCCATCACCCCCTGGTACTGGAGGGAAGCAGCCCTTACCGGAGGCGAGTTCTCATAGATGTTTGTGCTGTAGGGCAGGTTGATGAAAATGGGGTCCATGTCCTGCACATCTGTGATGGTGATGGCCAGGTTAGCCAGAGTGGATAGCGGCTTGTTCTTGTCTTGGTCCTTGAAAAACAAGGGCGAGAAAGGGTTTCTATTAGAACAAAAGAACTCTTCCACAGCGTAAAGTCACTCACAGTTGCGGCTGGTCAAAATCTGAGTAGTGTAGGCAATCACTTCTTTTTCAATCAATCGCCTGGAATTATCAACCACTGCAACTCCCTCTGAGCTGAAATACAATACGCATTTCCTTCTGGAATTTGCCCCTTTAATATACAGCAAGCACCAATTTAATTTTCCATCATGCTTTGGGTGGAAAAGAAGCAACATCTTGTTTAAAAAATACTTCAAAACATAAATTCCCTTGCAGTGCAGGTCCAAACTGAGGCACTTCTGCCTAGCAAGAGCTGGAGGGTCCTGATGCCTGCACCTGCTCTGGAGAGGAGGGGCAGTCAGCACATCCCATCAGGACACTTCAGGACCCACCAAGGCCAATGTCTCTGCACACTTGGAGCTCTACGTGCAGGACACGGCACAGCCCAACAGCCTCATTGCAGCTACTCCTGGCGGTGTCCTCATGTTTGAGTCTCATCCCATGTGTGTCTAAAAGCCACCCCAATATCCACAGCCCTTTGCTAGAAGGACAAGAACAGAACAGGCAGCGCACAAAGGAAGGAAATAAATCTCTCCTTAGCCCCTAATCAAGCACTGTGGTGAAAGGCAACCATTAGAGGTTACCACACACTTCTGCAAAATGGCTCTGAACAGCGCCAAGGACTGATTGCCAGAAGATTAATGTTAATTTAAACCGTATTCAACAACACAGCTTGTACATTATCCTCTTAACCTGCAGGCCTCAGCGTTTGTGGCCTGGATTGATGCTTATTTCTGACTCGCACTCTGCTGTTATCATTATCAAGTTGAAGTTTTTCGTTTCTTCAGATAAAGCTTTTTTCCCTCCCCTTTGTCTCTTAAATTTTGGTTAAGCATTACAGAGAGCATAAAAAGCCAAGTGTGTCTCACATTCCCTTTCCAGTTTTGTATCCTTGCTGCCTCCAACCCAGGGGTGGAGGACACAGAAATGAATTTGGGGATGGGGAGTAAAGCGAAAACGGATGTGACCAATACACCTCTGTACTGATACTGGCAAAGCACTGCCCAATGTGAGCCATTTACCAATTTTTCAGGCAGACACCATCAGATTCTAAGACTGGAGACAGTGGTGAGACAGTTAACTTCAAAGAATTTAATGTTTCTCAGCTGTGAAAGCAGTGAAACATTGCAGTGCTTACTGGGGGGAGATGGAGAACTCACTGCTGGAGTATTTAAAATAGTGAGATATATTTCATGAAAAAAGCACAACCTTTTGGAGAAGAAGGCCAGAACGTGCAGGGATAGGGCTGAAAGGCTGAGGTGTTTGCTTCAGGCCCTGCAGTCTGCGGATACTGTGAAGAGCAAAGGCAGTGCACAGCTCTCCCTGTCCCTCTGACACGTGGCTGTGCAGCAAGACAATGATCTTGATTAAATCACATGCTCCAAGAGCTCCAGCCAGCTGCCTGGAGGGGGCAGGAGGGTTTCCTCCCCCCCCACCCCTTTCCCAAGCACACAGTTGGTCAGATAGATTGCAGGGCTGTGTCTCACCTTCCTCACTTGCAACAGAGCCACCACACAGAGCTGCCTGCACAGTGCTTCTCAGCAGTTGCCTCCCTGTTGAGTTGCTGCCAGAGCTGACCCCAGCAAAGAAGACTTCCTTCCACGGTGGGGCATGAGTGTGACATTGTGGTTCCCTGGGAAAGTCTCTCCCTTGAGTCCCCTCCTGGAACTGACTCTACCCATCAAAATTTTAACTTCTGAGGTTTGAACTCAGCTATAGCTGAGCGAGACTCGGCAAGTTCAATGCAGGTGAATCCAGCTGTAATAAGTCAGGATGCACGAGGAACGATAGCAGAGGATTTAATGGGCTCTCCTGCTCTTAGATGCTGTGACATATGCTTGCTTTTCAATGTCATCAGCTGATAAGTGACCGTGGCTCTGAGCAAAGAAGCCTGGTTTTCTCCAACAGGGGAACTACTCTCTTTCATGCAGAAGCCTCTGATGTGTGAAAAACCATAGAATGATGTAGGTAGGAAAAGACCTCGAAGACTGTTATGTCCAGGAGCTGATCTGAAACGACCCAGGGAATGCATTGCCCTAGAGCCTTCCTGGGTGAAAATCACTTAGTGCTGGAGGCAGCTTGACCACTGGTGGCCACCGGTAGCCACTGACCATCAGTGTTCCACACCTTGCCCTGCGGCTACCCAAAGAGCTCCCTAACCATCCATTCTATTCCAACGCTCCCACCAAATCCACCCAGCATCTAAATTGTGATTTGGCAGTTTGCAGGGAAGCTGTGTGCCCAGGACAAGGCTCACCGTTGCGTTGACCTGGAGCTGGTATGCCTGCGTCACCTCGTAGTCCAGCTCCCGGATGACAGTCACGATGCCGCGTCCACTGTCGATGGCAAAGAAGCTGGATGGAGGCTGGAAGGAGTACAGCACGCTGCCACCTGCCCCCTGGTCCGGATCTGTGGCATTCACAATAAAAATTGGAGTGCCCACCGGAGTGTTCTGGAATTAGAATTAAAAACACACTGATAAAACTGTGCACTGGCCTGTTTTCCCATCAGACGCACATCAGCAATTTCCATCGCCCACCAAAACCAATATCCAGAGAGCCAAGAACTTCAGTCCAGTATTTTGAGGAGGTTTCTAAGTTATACAGCTGTTCTCTTTATTACAGGATCGCAGCGCTATAATAGTTGTTGCACACTTCTAATCATAGTTATACAGCTGCGGTCAAGACGGCACTTCTATCACAAACCCTTATTTTTCCAGGCATCACAACTTTCCAGAAAAATTACTGGCTCTTTGCTGAAGCTTGTTTTCTGCCCAAAACCACTTTTGTTTTCAGTGCCGATTCACTCTCCGCTTTCACCATAAGACATTAAATATAAAACAGCCCCCCCACCCCCCGCCTCCAAAATGCATTCAATGCAACACAGAACTTTACATAAAACCTAATGTTAGAGTTTCCACAGCAACTACAACCTGGCCCGATTAATTCAGACATTAGCAGTTAAATTGTAATAAATCTGTAACTAATCTACATGCATAAAATATGCAGCTGAGTGCACAAAATCAGCAACGGCAAGTGCAGTTTGGCACTTCTTATTGTTTAACTTCGCAGCGGGGAGAACAATTATCCATTTTTGGCGGAACAGCTGCATGTTCCTATGCAAATCTTAAATGCATATTCCCGTCTCTGGGAGGGCAGAGGCAGGGATGGCGAGCAAAAGGGTTTTGCTGGGGAGAACGAGGGGGGCACTGAGGTACATTTGCAAGATGCATACAGCCCCATGAGGAGGTGATGCAGAGCTCCGACCTACCAGCCAGCCAGCAAAGGTCAGCAGCGAGGAGCCTCGGGGCTGGTTAGGACCAGTTGGGATAATACGGATTATTTCTGCCAACCTCTTCACCGGCCTCTGTGCCTTATTGTGAGTTTGTTCCTATTCAATTTTTCCTGCTCAGCCCAAGGAGGAGCATCGTGAGCTGCCGAGGAGGTGGGAGGGAAGCAGGGAGAGAAGCGAGCCCAGCCCTTGGGTCTTGCCATGCCGTCCCCAACACCTCTGCCCTTCACATGCAGCCTGGTGTCACTTCTTCCAAGCAGTGAGAGGTTGCAGTTCCCACCTCGAGTTTTCATTTGATTTCTGCCTTTTAAAATTTTTTTATTTTTTTTTTCCCCTCCACCCTTTAAATCAAGCTGCTAAAAGAACCTTGCAGGGCACGGCCTGGGGATTATTTTTTAAAGCACCTTCAAGTTTTTTTTGTGATCAGCAATCATAGAAGCATAAAAGATGTAGCTAGAAGGCACCACACAAGAAAAACCCGCTCCCTTGCTGCACCTAAATCATTTCCATCCTTAGAGCCTTCCAGCAATGGAGACATCACAACCTCCCAGGCCGATTTATCCCAGCAGTTTGCTGCTCTCTGCCTTACAATTGCTCGTTTTTTGTCACACTTATCCCAGATCCCTGTGAGCCCTGAGTCTGAACTGCATCTCCTGTGCATTAAGGCTGGGGTGTGCAGGCAGGGAGCTTAGAGGGCTTGTGAGGCTCTCTGTGGGGAGGCACTAGTGGGTGTCTGCTCACTGACCACCCCTCTCTGCCTTCCCCCAAAGTACAGCTCCTCAGAGAGAACTATGCATCCCCCCATTCCCCCTTCAGGCTAACTCAAGTTACCAGGTGTAACTGACCTGAGGCATTCCACAACCCTGCCAAGCACTGCCTCCATCTATCCATCCATCCATCCATCACCCCTCCCTCCATCCATTCCTCTGCTCAGGTTCCTACCAAAGCCAGGAAGAAGAGTACTGAGGATTAAACATGAATGGCCATAGCAGACACCAATTTGTACCAATGAGATTTGGGACATATCGTCCCCAGCACTAATAATATTCATAAGGATAAAGCCAGGCTCGATGAATATTTCCCCTTTTTAAGTGCCCCTAGCCACTCCTTTTAACATGCAAATCCGCTCTGGTCACTCTGATTACAGGAGAGCCTGATTCCCCCGGCATTGTGTTTTATTCAATAGCTCCAGAGCAAGCTTAGAAGAGTTCCTCATCCCCTTGCCCAAAGGAGAAGCTTTCTTGGGGGGGGGGGGGGGGGGGGGGGGGGGACGGGACACAGAGGCAAATCCCAGTGACACTGCCCGAGCTCTGACTTGGCCATCGCTTTATTTTTATCCCTCTCTTATAGCTTTTCTGACCAGATCTCTTCATTGGCCAGGACAGCAAATCCATACAAGCAGAGCATCTGCTCTGCATGAAGACCTGCTGCCCTAGGGAAACAGTCACTGGTGTCTGTGGGGCTAAACACAGAGGGGGCCTCAAGTGGGGACACCAGTGTGCTTATGGATAGGCGAAGCATAGGCAAAGAACACCCGGCGCTGGGGGAATCAAGAGATGAGCAGAAGGTCTTCAAGGCAGGGTCTCCCTGGTGCTGTCAGTGCCTGTGCACGACGTTACATACATTTCAGACTGTCTGCCTTCAAAGCAGCACAAATACATCTTTAAAATCCTCTTGCTGTTTTTGGGTCAAGCAGGCTCAAGCTATTGCTCAGCAGGAGGCTGACGTCTTATTTCTCAAAAGACGTGGCCCATCATCTGAACAATGGAGCAAAACATCTGTATAGACATCACTGGCTTGCTTTTTGGGTTTGATCAGAAATAACAAGTGGAGGGCATGGCCCAGGGAGATGCGATTGGCACGCTTAGCTCAGGGTGCTCAGGACGGGCTGTGTTTCTGCATTCTGAGCATTTGGGCCATTTACGGGGCTCTTCTGCACATCCCTCATGGCTGTTCCTCCACCACAGAGATCAACCCTGATTAAGCTTAATTCACAGAAAGGCAAAAACATCAAATTCTATCCATTCTGTCCAGCCAAAAGGAAATGTGGGTAGACGATAGCCTAGAGCAGCTTGTGGCAAACAGGTGAGCTTCCCAGGTTGGCCCCCCAGATTTGTCATTTTTAAAGCTCTTCCCTCTCTCCAGCAGCCAGCAAAGAAGCTTCCCACAGGAACAACAACAAAAAAGCCAACGAAAAAGCTAATGATGAAATTGTGTCATATCATTAAATCTTTGTTACGATGCCAGCAGATGTGAGACAAAAATAACCAGACAGATGCCTCCTGTGGAGGAGGAGAAGGGCAAAGGGGAGTGGGACGGCTTCTGACCACCCCACATCCCCTCCTGCACTTGCAGCGTCTAAAGGGGGTTTGAGGCTGCGAGGCCGCTTGTGCCTCTCTCCATTTGCTATGAATACATGAGGAACTATGCTAAAAATCCCTAAGGAAGAGGCTCAGGTCCCAGTGAGCTCCTGCTCAAGCATCTGGCCATGCACAGGACCTCCACACGACCTCCCAGGGCAAAGTCACCCAGCAGAAGCTGGTGGAAGCGATTAGGATGCGGATGTGCGCACGCCGGACCAATGCAAATAATGTGTAAAAACGGCAGGCAATCTGGCCGAGCAGCTGTCTGAAGGTCGATGAGATGTGAGCAGGCAATGCGAAGGGGCTGGAGCTGTGGGGCTCTCAATGCTGCTATCTCGGCACCAGCCCCCAAACCACCTCGCAGGCTGTATGTTGGGTCCTGCTCTTTCTTTTTCCCACTGACCGCTCCCATTAGGAGATGCTTGGCTGATCATGCTACATCTCAGGTCAACCTATTACTCTCAAATATTCCCCTGATGCTGTTTCTAGCAGCTCCTTTCCCTCTCTCCATCACATTTGCTCCCAAATCCCACTGCTGCAACCTGAGTCCCTCATGCTGATGCCTTCCCATCCCAAGGCACGGCATCCCTTGCCCAAGGCCAACCATCCCAGTGGTAGAGCTGGGAGCTGAATCCACACAATGAAACCCCAGCTCCCTCTTCCACACATGCTTCCTACGAGCTCTGCCTTGAGAAAGACCAGCCATGCTCTGTGCGTTTGCCTTCCCCCAGCCACCAGCCTGGGGCTTGCCAGCTCCAAACACTCACGCGGATGCACACGGGCTTCCAATTCCCTTGTTCTTTATTACGCTTTTAATTACATTTATTAATTGCATTACTGCTAGCCTGAGCCAAGCAATTTCCAATTTCAAAAATTGATTTTAAACCTGATAATTTCCCTTTTTTCCCCTCTTTTTTTGGATTGAAATTCACCCCACCTCTCAATCAGCTCTCGTTAATATGTATCCCCTGCCGCTATCTCTATTAAGCGACCTCCCTCATTATCGCCTGACACTGGCAAGCGGCCACCACAGAGCTATAATTCAATTGAGGGGCTTTTGAGAACACCATAAACACAGCTGGAGGAGACGCGGTGAAGGAGCCAGCACTGAATTACCGGCTGGCTCACCGCGTGCGGGTCGGAGGCTTGTTCTCAGCAGAGGAATTCAGGGTGAGGAAAGTGAGGTGCTTTGCCCCAGAACCTCACTGCAAAGCCCCAAGATAGCACCGTGCACTAACGCAAGCCATAGGTACACTCACAATCAGGCCATAAATCACATCCTCGTGCCTTATCCTCCATTTCCTCAGCTACCAGCACACCTCTAACCAAAGAAACAGCAGTGGCATTGGCAAACCCCATATGCTCTCCCCGTGAATCACCAAGCCCATGACCATCAACATCTTCTCCACAGTTGTGTACCTGCAATCTAGGTGCTCTGAAGGCAAGGGTTATAGTAGATCCACCCTCTCACCTTCCTACTAGAGAAAGATTTTGGTTGGAAAGGGTGGCAGAGTCCCCTCTAAGCCATACAACTACACCCTGTGACACTAACCGATGCATAGAATAATTCAAAATCAATGCAGTGTCGCCCTCAAAACACAATTATAAACAAAGAATAGCAAAAGGAGAATGTATTTTTAGTGGGTTCCCACTGAGAAAGTGCAAGACTTTGTCCACTGAGATTTTTCTCAGTTAGCTAGAAGATGGCTAGGAGATACGTAGCAGGACATAGACTGGGAGGTGGGTAGGCAAGAAGGGTATGCGCCACTGAGGGGGAAAACCCATGCCTCTCCTTGCT